TAATAGTTTGCAGTTAAAGGAAATCTTGAGGTGTGGAGCAGACGATCTCTGCAGGCCGCAGAATTCACAAACACAAAGCCAGCTGGTGTGATACCATCACAATACTTCACTGTTTGTATTTGCCTGACCAGCAGTGAACACAGCTCTGCAGCCCCTTTGGGAGCTGCTACAACAGAGAAGGATGTTAAAGCTTACAGGTCCCTCATGCACCATAATAACGAGCACAGCAACTGTCCAACTGGCCTTCAATTAGCCGGGGAGCTAACAAACATGAGGGCTTCCAATCCAAAGACCGTATTGAAGAAATTAGATAGAAAACGGAATGAGCACAGCTTGAACAGATTAAGACTGATCACCAAACTCTTGTTTGTTTTAATAAGATTGCTGCTATCCAGAGGTGGAAAAAGATTATTTACTTAAGTAGAATAACTTATCTTAACACTGTAAAAAATACTGAATTTCAAGTAAAAGTACTGCAATGAGAATGGTACTTGAGTAAAGGTATTTAAGTACGATTAAGACAATGTACTAGGAATAAAAGTATTATTTGGAGAAAAAATGATATAATACAATTATATATTAAATATGTTTACGCAAAAGCAGTATCTTCATATTTAAGAATCTGGAACTACGAAATATATAAAATATAGTTAGCAAAGTGGGTGCCATTCATTTTTCTTTTAACCCACTCATCGTTTTAGTTACTTAATTATAAGTTGGATGGTTTAATCAATACCAAATGATCATATTTTAAACGTTTGTCAGAACTATTTTGTATCAAAACCTGAATGTATAAAGTAAATCAATCTGTAAAATAAATGCAGTTGAGTAAAATGTACTGAATTGAATTCCAAAATGAAGTAGAATAGAATAATAAAGTAGTATAAAATGAAAATACTCAGCTAAAGTACAATGTGTAGAGTACTTCAGTAAATGTACTTAGTTATTTTCCACCACTGCTGCTGCTATCCCACCCATCAGATCCTTGCCTTGTGCTTCTATTCTATATACGCAAATAAAATAAATGTATGTAATGGAAAAAATGTTTCATTTTTACAAATTGAGGCAAACTGTCTGGGAGATAAATCCTCAGCAGAGTAACTTCCTACATCATAAAAAGTAAGAATAAATCCATATGAACCTAAGGCTACACATCAATATTTAAATGGGTTTTCACAGCGATAATGAACACCTTGGCTTTTCTCAGAGCAGAAAAGAGCTTTAGCTGGGGCACACTCTCGCAAGTTCATATTGCATCATTTGGACTCACACACTGCCAAAAGTATAATGAGAGAATAAGTATTAACAACTAAGAGTAAGACCCAGTGCTGCATTTATATAAGCCGCCTCTATTCAGTTACTAATGATTTGCTTGTTACAGTAATCATCGCTGCGAGACCATACCGGAACATCTGCATTGATTCAGACTCTGGGAGCGCAGAGAGGGAGGGAGATGCTCACAATCTGGATCTCAACTTCGAGAGCGAGACAACAAGCTGTTGATGGTTATTTTGGTAATTGTCCATAATTGATGTAAAACACAGAGTGCGTTGAAGAAGATTCTGAATGATGGTTTCTGTAGCTTGAGAGGTCAGGGGAAATGGACAGTTGTGATGAAAATGCACAAACATCTTCTAATAATGTGAGTTTTAAATGCAACAGGACAGCTGGTGGGAGCAAATGAGACACCTAGCAGCAGTTTACTCTTAACTGATGGAGTAAATCGTTCTTGGCAGTCGAAAGCAATGATGTCGTAAATTATACAGTACATCCAGTTAAATGCAAGATTTGACGTCAAACATTAAAATATTATTGTTTTACACATCCAGCTGGGCAGTAATTGTGCATATTTATCAATATGTTGAAGCTTAAATAGATGAAGTTACATAATGTAATGTTTAATTTAATGTATTATATTGTGCACACACATATGCCAAGCACACACTAAAAAGTACAGTTGTAGTGGTTAAACATTTGACTTTACAGCCAAGATGTAGTAACATGGCCCACACATAATACAATTTATTTTAACATTATTAAAGTGCTACAAAAATGCAAAGTAGTTCTTTCAAAAAAAGGTTTTTCCTATATCAATGAGTTAGTTCTGCAAAGTCTTCAGTTTAAATTGACATTAAGATGAAGGTATTACATCCTCTCTATGTAATCAGCCTAACACTTAGATTACATTTTTCTAGTTGCTCTCACCTTTGTAGGGCAAAAAGGTCCATAGAATTTTATATAAAAGATCAAATGTAATCCTCCTGAAACAAGTTCTAACTTTAAAGGCCACCTATTATGCAAAAATAACCATGTGTCCCCTTTGTGTAAAGAGATTCTGAAAGTTTCAGGAACAAAGATTGTCTCTCTTTTTGTCCTGATCCATTTCTATAAAAACCTGTCTGAAAATGAGCTGATCAGATTTTGGCCACTTTATGATGTCATAACGATTTGTTGGCTTGTGTAACCGTTAGCCAATCAGCAACCAAGGTAACCCCCCCCCCCACCTTATCACCTGAATCTCCACCTAGAGCACCTTTATGTTCTTTGTAACCAAATATCTCTCAGAGGGGCGTGGGGAGGGGCTCCTTGTTTTCATCTAAAGTAACAGACAGAGAATCAGCACTTTTGAAACAGGGCTGAAACAGAGAGGATTATGGGTAATGCTGCAATGATCTGTTTGGTATTTGGAGCCAAACACTTCAGAGACATGTTTTGTATATATCTGAGAGCTATAATATATTGATGAAAAACAGTATAATAGGTGACCTTTAAGAATCATGCATCGAGAAATACTCAGCACAAATTTAGAAAACAGTTGCCTGTAACTATACAGTAGCTAATGCTCAATGCTGCTTCACATAAGGCTCCACACTGCAGTTGTGGATGAACACTATATGTAATTGAGACAGTGTACAGTATGTGGCAACAAATATCACTCTCTCACTCTGTGTTTAAAGAGGGTTTTGGCATGGCTGACACAAAGTGAGGAGATCCTGAGCACATGTTTGGATAAGTGAAGAGCGAGCTACATAATTCTGCTCAAAGCAAGGTGAGTGATGACTCTATAACACAAGTCCAGAGTGTCCTTGTTCTGTTGCCATCGCTTCTCTAATGAGACCTCTCTGAAGAACCAGAGTGAATCTCCAGCACCGCGTGGCTCAGTCCAGCTTGACCTCGCTCCACTCTCGGTAGAATTAAAGAAATCTTCTACCTTCTTGACTGTGGCTATGGATAAAGAATACACACTAATTATAGAAACATCTACGAACTAGGGCAAAACTGCATGACCTTGGACTAATGAATATATATGAAGAGAAAATGGCTGCTGCATCTTGTGCTGTTTGACGAGCAGGGATCAAAACGCTGATCCGTTTGACATGAAAGGGCATGACCTCTGACTTCAGCGAAATAAACTCAGTTTTCAAGAACAACCAACACATTGACAGAAATAACAATTGAAATGCTAAACATGTCATGTACAAGCTTCACTAAACAAAATAACAGAGAACCAAAAAGTGTTTCTTATCATATGTCCTCACTAGTTTAGTCTCTATTTTGAGTTTTATATATATCTGCATTGATTCATAAACTGCCCTACATTGCTTTCAAAATCTGCCCTGGAACAAAAACCAATGCATTCACATGGACCCTTGAAAAAACAAAACGCAGGTTGTGGGATGTCACCTCGCCACCCCGGTCAATTAAACACCTCCCACTACAGGTTGGCTTCACTCAAAAGGCTCATTAACCCTTCTGACCAACCACCAGTCACAATCAGAAAAACATCCGTCACATTGGCCAATCCCTACATGGGCAACGCAGGTCAACACCCACACAAGTGACAGGGAATTGAATTGCTGGAGAGAACGTGGTTTGTCCGTGCACTTGAAAGACATTTGTTTATTCACAGCGGGCCACATTGACTTGTTTTTTTGTATATAATTGATATGCGAGTGATATGAGGTAAATATTCTTCCAGGCAAGCATCAATGCGGTTGCATAAATCATCTCTAAAGCTGAATCACTACATTTTAAATTCAAACCCATTGAAAGGTTTACTAAAATAAATATCCCAGATACATCACATTTTGAAATCAATGTGGCATTTACTTTAAAGTACAACTACGCCTTATGAAACTAAACGGGAGCAGCGATACATCTGAAGCGTCTTTGTGTGCTTGTTTTTTTTCAGACCACTAGTCTTAATCTACTGGGTTGATCTCCCGGTTCCCGCGGGATTATAAAATGTCTGCAAACCTCAAAATATTTGAGGCAATCAACAACTCAACACGCATTTGGCGTTAGAATGCAAGAATGTGAAAACACACAAACGAATGGATAAAAAGGAGTGAAATATGAAGAGAAATAAGGGGGATCGGAGCGGTGCCCATTTCGGGGGTGTAAAATATGGAGAAGTGTGGATCATTGGGGGAGCTGCTCTGCCTGGGGGAACAGATGAAGGGAGGACACTCTGCCAAGATCTCTCCACTGGAGGGGGAGCTGAGGGACTGCAGCTCTATGGGAGGAAGAGTGTGCGCCTCGCATGCTGCTCTCCTCAATCTCAGTCTCACACGCCTGCATCGACACGTCGTCCCAGGCTCTCGCAGCAGAGGGAAATTGCCGCTGACAGGGCCTTGCAAACTTTCACAGCCATTTAGAAAGACTTACTCCCACACTTTTGTCACAGGCATTTATTGCACAAGATACATGATATGAAACATTTACATTTTTTGAACTTGGCATCCCTTTTTTTTTTTTTTACCAAGTTAGGCTTAAAAACCATTCATAATTTTTCAGCCTTGCGATCGGGCCCCAGTGCAGATGTAAACACAAGACATGCCAAGTGAGACCCCGAGATAATGAAAATGCAATTTTCAAGAAAGGAAATCCAAATGCTACTTCGTAAATTCGGGCTCCAAATCCAATCATGCTGTCCCGTGTTACTATCACCGAAGTACATGAGGCTGTCTTAAGTGAGATCAGAGGTTATTGTTCTGTACCTTTACGTCCACGAGCAGCCAGTGTCTCCAGAGAGCAGAGGTTGGTTTGGTGCGGCTTGGAGCATGAGGATCAACCATCACCAGAAAATAACTCTTCTTCTGCAAACAGAAGGGTTTTCACATATTATTATTCTAAAACAGACAAAGTGCTTAACTTCACTACCACACACGGTGAGATTGGCCCAGAGGAAGTGAAACAGTAACATCAGTAGCTGATCCCTTTTGCTTTTCTAAATGCAGCCATGTGCTGTTCGTGCATCACTTTGCCCAAGGCTTGAGAGCCATCTCTGCAGCTAACAACACTTTGTTTAATACTTCAAAACAGAAGCTTCATTTCACTTTCTTAGCTTTCACTTATAGTAACTAAAGATGCTGCAAAATGTGATTTTTATTGTGTATTATTGTGGATATTTTTTAAATAGTTACTTGATTTATTGAGTGGGTACACAAAGCTGGGCAACAGTTCATACCAGAAGGTTGGATTTGCCTTTTGTTGGCTTGACGCATTATCTTAACACTGCCTTACTTCAGCTGTCAAGGCTGAAATGTTGCTTGGAAAACAAAAAAATACATGTGGCAATATTGTTGTAAAAAAGCTTGAAATAAAACTGTTATTAAAAGGTGACGATATACATGAGAAAGTGTTGTGTAGCCATGCTGAACACCAAGTACAGCACACTCCTATTGCAAAAATACAGCTATTTTCTTCTGTTATTCCCTAGACTTCATATAATTACTGTGACATCAATAAAAATGACAAGATTTTGGATCGGATACAAAATCTTCTCGTTAACATATTCGCTGTAACTTTCTGCCACTTAACCAGTATCTTTGGACCCCTCAATCTGTCAATAGATAAAGCGAGAGAAAAAGCATCTTAACTAACACTTGATTATTGGACGTTAACTTGGCGGCTTAACTGCTGGAAAATCTTCATTCTGTCTGTCCCTAAAAGTTAGAGAATTATGAGAGCAGATTGAATTATTGCGAGAGCACATTTGTCATCCCTGGTCCTGTGCCCAAAATCTGCCAGACCATATGATGGGCTTTTTTTATTTTGTTCACTTCCTCTACAAACAGAGACATTAATCAAGGCTGTTTCAATCCACGATGTCCTCTTACTGTATATATATATATATATATATATACACTTTCAACTGAAAACCATGATGATAATACATTAAAAACAGATGCAGCGTATCTTACATTCCTACGCTGTCTGCCAACAACACGTCTGTGAAACATTTAATAGAATCAAACGCTCGCATGTAAACATAAACCTCAAATTTATGTTTGTTGTGTCTTATCAAGACATTCTTAAAGGCCTCTGAAAATTATCGTAAGCCGATGTTCTTGAATGAGATAAAGAAATAGTCATGTATTTTTCTGCAGATGCTCAGTTTTCAGAAGGATTCTCTGCCTACCTGACAAGCAGTAATACGCGTAAACAACTAAGCCTAATAATAGGATAATACTGTAGTCTCAGCGATAGTGCCTGCAGGTAGCATCCAGACACACCAGCAACAATAGAGCCTCCTCCACAGCCTGTCAAAAGTGACTCTATATCAGTGACCCCCCCGGGCAGCTTACCAACCATGACCTGTTGCCTTCTCAGGAGTTGTAATCCTCATTTGTACATATTTGCTACCAGGCAAATACACTGTGATAATGTAGTTACACTAATATTCAAGTCAGGCCCCGATGCATTCAGAAATAGCATGGTTTCAAATACCACACACACACACACATGAAATGAGAGCATTTAATTTCAAAATGACCTCCAGTCACAATTATCGCTGAAAGAAATAGCACTTTATTGCATATTTCACGAAAGTTACCACGGATGAAGATAAACTGAATAGGACAGGCTTCCCAAAGCCAAATTTAGAACAAAATTAAGTAGATTTCACATTAATTTCCATCAAAAACAACTGAAACATGGTGTATTTATGGTGGGCACCAGATTTCAATGATTTATGCACACATTTTGTGCTTGAATTTCTACCTGTAAGAATCTGGCGGGTCCAGCTGGCTCGGGCAGCAAATAATACAAGAGGCTCCCTCCATGCTTGCACTTCACACATTGTGGCATGTACCCTTCTCTCTTACATGGACACTTTTTCTCTCCATCTGTCAAAATCCACATTAATTACGCACAGATATGTGTGAAAGACTCCAGGGAAAAACAGATGCATATTCTGCCATCTGAAATAATTTATCATGGCTTGAACAAACTAAATGTATATAAAAACTGGAAACTGAAAGGAACACATTTCCTAAAATATGTTATGAGTACTAACCACTTTTAGTAATGAGATAACATTTGAGCCTTCATGATCATTTGAGATTTAGATCTGCTGCAGTTTAACAATTCTCTGACCAATGACACATCTTTTTTAAAGTTGTATGTCAGACAAAGCTATTAGTAAAGAATTATTTTAATGATTTTCATAAAGAGAATTCACTTTTTTTTAAAAAGAGTTAGAGGTCAGCAGCCCACTCTTTTGAACTCGGTAATGCTATCTAAAGGACTTAGAAAATATCAGAGAAATCTGATAGCAGAAGTGAAATCTGGGTAGGTGTCAGCCACAGACCGCAGAGCTTCATGGGGTTATACAGGAGGTTTCTGGGTGTAGGGTGTGGGCTGGAGGTGGGGGAGATTGAGCCAGCGTTCTCCTGGGATTAACCTCCCACTGCCTGCTTTGATCGCTGCAAAACGGCCCGATGGGAACACACTTCAGACACCAGGCGGCTGGAATAAACCTGCAGCCCACTGGTCGTCTGTATCACCTCACCTTTGGCTGCCAGAAAACTCCCAGCTTCATATTTTCTTTAGTTTTTCCCTTTCAATAACCCTGAACAACTTGCAAATATTGTACTCACACTGACTCACTTTAATTACACTTTCATTTTATTTAAAGGGCACCCAGTATGCTTTTTGGGTTTTCCCTTTCCTGTAGTGAAAAACTATTTGATGTGCATGTAAAGGGTCTGCAGAGGCTAAAATCCCAAAGTTCCTTCCAGAGGGAGTTTCTCTCCCACACACTGCCCCCCTGCCTGAAACGCCTACATTGGACTCCGTAACATAGTGACATCACTATGTAACACAGGTGCTTCTATTGGCAAGCGTTGCAACACATTGTACGTGATAGGCTAAGGGGGCGGGACATCTCTAAGTGGTTGACCAATCACAACAGAGCCGGCCAGCTAACCAATCAGAGCAGACTGAGCTCTGGTTTCAGACGGAGGGTGAAAAGAGGTGCTGCATGAGAAAAATAAAGAGCTTAACATTAAAGGAAGGAGACATGTCACAGGAGAGGAACTAACTACAGCTATGAAACCTGTGAGCATAATGCAACTACTATGCAACTTACTTATATGGTATGATACATTTTAATATTCTTGTTTTTAGAAGTAGGTATTATAGAGTAATTAACTTATTCTGTATATTTTATATTGTGTAACATTTGGATAATATTTTGCTATATTTATTTTCTACTGATGATAAGTATACATTTACAGTTTTTTTATTGTATTCTATAAGTCTTTTTTATTGTAATGATATGTTTAACTAATGTGTAATGCCTGTAGACAAGCTGCTGTAACAAAGGATAATGGAAGTATATCTAATGTACTCCAATTCACTGTTATCTCTGGTCAGTGGTGTTGAAGAAGGGAAAAAGTGAAGAGCTGGCTCTACAGAGTTTAAAGGGGGAATCACTTGCAGTACACATGTTTTGAACTCAATACCTGTTCATGATTATGTATCATAGAAATGCAGGTATCATTTTTCTAAAAAATGTTTATATTCCCAAACAATGACATGAAACTCCCACTCCGTGTCAATAGGAGTAGACTATTTGCAAAACAGAAGACGGTGTAGAACAAAGGCGGAGGAATACCAGTGTCTCTGAGGATGTGAACTACTGGCTTACCTTTGAGTGAACTCTGCTGGGGATGAGAATCAGAGAGATGTCTAATCGCTGCTTTCGTATATCTGCCTGGGCTATCGAGCCCCGCTCTGCTAACTGATGACACCACGAAGGGCGAGAGTGAGTTAGCGAGAGGGAGGGAGGGAGGGAGGAGAGGCCCCTCGGCGAGTTTACAAGTTCATACTTTATCCCTGACCCAATACCAAACAGTGTCATCGGTGCAGCTGCCTATTAATATACCCATTGCTTTATCCTTCCCCGTTATACATCCACGTCAGCCGCTGCGCACAGAACCAACAACGTTTCATTAAATGGTCAACTGTGCTCACCGCTCGACCTGGGGCAACGCATCGATCTCAAATCCCGGTTTAAGTAGCAAAAATATTTGAACTCGTTTGGTAATTAACAGGTATCTGTGTTGTGATTAAGACACAGCGATGGCTTAGCAATCATCGACTGCAGCTTAGAACAAGGTTGGAAGATCGAAAATAAAAACACTAAGAAGAATTTTCTAGATGATGAAAAAGTCTATGTTGGTTGTTTTTGCAGTAAGTTTTGATAATAAACTGAATCTGTCATGTTAATGTTAAATGTATAGCGCAGAGATGTATGACTTTTTATATAAAAGTCAAATTTCTGAGGTAGGATATGAGTAAGATTGGAAGAAGAGAAAGCGATGGGGAAGTGGTTCTACTGTCAGGGTTCATCCTGTTGGAGAGGAGGTCAAAGGTCAGCCAGACAGCAGTAATTGAATCCTGACCGGAGAGTGGGGGGCCGTAGACCCAAAAATGAGATGGAGATAGAAGGGGGGCTGAGGCTCTCACCTAGAGGTCACCATCCTCTCAGGTGAGGAGGTCCTCGTTGGTCATTAATAATAGTCGCTGAAGCTTTGAAACCTCATTGTTCCTCACTACAAGCAGCATTTTAAAACCTTCTTTAAAGAAAGTCTAAAGGGCAGAAGGGTCATCGGCGGACAAAATAAAAAACTGCATTTTTCTGAAAATCTTATCAAACAATATGTCTTTTTATTCCTAAGGTCTTGAATATGGAAACATAAGTCAGCTATGATATCTACAACTGACCAGCAGGTGTACCAAACAGAAAGTAGCTTTGTTACTAAAACAGACTTACATGATGACTAATAGTAGTACTATAGTATTAGTAGTA